AAATTTAAGAACACACTCTTGGCAAGACTATAAAGAAACAGGTACCCTCATACATTCTTAGTGGGAATGCAAGTTGGCCCAATCCCTGGAGAGGAGAATTTGGCAATATATAGTAAAACTGTTAATGTTTATCCCAGCAATCTCATTTCTAGAAGCTTACCACAGAGATACACTGGCAAAATATAGAAAGAAATATATACAAGGCAATTTTTTGAAGCACTATATGTAATAGCAAGACTGGATACAACCAAAGTCCCCATCAAAGGGGATTGGATGAATAAAGTATGGTAGGTCCACAAATTGGAGTGATAAGCAACTGCAAAAAGGAAAGAAGAACAACTATGTTCTCCTATGAAGTACTAGTCTCTCTACTTTTATATGGCTAAAACAATTTAATAAAAACACTTTTAAAATAGAAGAAAATGATTACTTTTAGGGAGTTAAACAATAGAGCAATTTTGGAAGGATTGCTTTTTTCTTAACAATCACTATAGAATCATTTGACTTTTTATACTATGTACATGTAAAAATAAGTATATTTAAAAATTAAAAGTGAAGAGGACTGCCATGAATATAATACTTAATGGTAAAACTTAAGAAGCAATCTCATTAAAGGCAGAAATATCAATGATGCCTGCGCTTCAACTTTCTACTGGAATCTTAGCCATTACAATAAGACAAGAAAAAAGAAATGAACTAGGAATAAAAGACAAAGAATGACTGTTGTTTGCAGACAATATTAAATGCACAGATAATCCAAAATAATTTACTAATCACTTTTTGTAGCAAAATTGCTAAACATAAGAGCAAGACACAAAAATAAATATTGTTTCCATATGCTGGGAACTAACCAGAAAATGTGATAAAACAAAATTTTGTATATAGTGGCAACAGAAACTATTAGGTATAGATAAAGAACTCTAACAAAAGATGAGATATTTATGAGGAAAATCATAAAACATTATAGAAGAACATAAAAACAGATCTGATTAAAATCATAAATGTGAATTCTCCCCAAGTTATTCTCTAAACTGAATGCTTCCAACCAAAAGCTTAACAGATATTTTTGTGGAAACAGGCAAACTGATATCAATTCACAATTTTATTTATTTATTTATTTATTTATAGATTTTATTTATTTATTCATGAGAGACAGAGAGAGACAGAGAGAGGCGCAGAGACACAGGCAGAGAGAGAAGCAGGCTCCATGCAGGGAGCCCGATGTGGGACTCGATCCCGGGTCTGCAGGATCATGCCCTGGGCCAAAGGTGGTGCTAAATTGCTGAGCCACCCGGCTGCCCTCAATTCATAATTTTAAAATTGTGAAAAACAGTTTGAAAATAAGAAAAAGAGGGATCCCTGGGTGGCGCAGCGGTTTGGCGCCTGCCTTTTGCCCAGGGCACGATCCTGGAGACCCGGGATCGAATCCCACATCAGGCTCCCGGTGCATGGAGCCTGCTTCTCCCTCTGCCTGTGTCTCTGCCTCTCTCTCTCTCTCTGTGGCTATCATAAATAAAAAATAAAAAAAAAATAAAAAAAAAATTCATTAAAAAAAAAGAAAAAGAGTAAGTCTTAGTTTTACCATATTAAGTTTTACCATATATGAAGTTTACCATATACAAAGCTTTAGTGCCTAAAATAGTGAAATATTAGAACAGGGATAGAAAATAAAACAATGCAACAGAACAGAGATCCCAGAGACAGGCTCATACATATTTTGAACTTGATATGTTTATTATACAGATGACAGTTGAGAAATGATGTACTACTCAATAAATGAAGAAATTGATTTGCCACGTGGGAAAAAAAACGAAGTTAGATTCTTACCTGACACATATACAAAAATAAGTTCTGGATGGATTAAAGACCTAAATATGATATTAGAAAAAAAAAAAACAGAGGGAATACCTCTGTTCTTGAGATAGGGAACACAAGACAAAAAAGTATAAATGATAAATGAAAGTATTGATGACATAAAATTTTAAATTTTTTTCTGTCACAAATGACCCCATAAACAAAGTTAAAAGATGGGGGTATCCCTGGGTGGCTCAGTGGTTTGGTGCCTGCCTTCATCCCAGGGCAGGATCCTGGAGTCCTGGGATTGAGTCCTACATCAGGCTTCCTGCATGGAGCCTGCTTCTCCTCTGTCTGTGCCTCTGCCTCTCTCTCGCTGTGTCTCTCATGAATAAATAAACCTTAAAAAAAACAAAAACAAAGTTAAAAGATAAGTGGCCAATAGAGGAAAATATCTGTGATATACCAGAATACATAAAAGTTCATATCAGAATGTGTAGAGAAGTCCTACAAATCAGTAGGAAAAACAACGTAATAAAAAATTGTGCAGAGGATGTGAAACAATTCACAGAAGAGGAAACCCAAACCACAGATAAATATATGGAAAGATACCCCCAATAGTTAGGCATCGGAGAAATAAAAAATAAAAGCAAAATGAGATGCTATATCACACTAATCAAATTAATGAAAATGAAAAGTCTGACTGTGAGGATGTCGAAAGTTCAGGGCAGCCAGGGGGAGAATAAATCAATACAACACACTTAGAGGTAAAAGTTAGGACATGGTCCTACCTAATTAAAAATTCATACATTGTATGACCCAAGAATACCAATATCCAGCCTGTACTTCCAGATGTACACCCAAGTAAATTTTCACACATGAACAGAGGGAGGCCTACGTGGAATATTCATTGTAGCATTTAAAAAATAGCAAAATAAAAAAAAAAGAGCTGGAAATAAGTTCAATGACAAAAGTAGGGTTCGGGATAATTAAATGTGTTAATAGTCACACGGTTGAATACCACACAGTAATTAAACTGAATGAACTAGATCTATGTAACCTCATGGAAAGATCTCAAAAATCAAGTAGGATTTTAAAAATAAGTTCTAGAGAGCCATCTCTAGTACGATATCATTTATGTAATATTTTTAAAATGTATAAATATACATAATTGTAACGAATATATCAAGAAATAAATGGGAATCAGAAAATAGTGACCAGCTAGACAGCCCTTTATAGAAATTTTGCTGTGAAGGGGCGGAGATTGCTGAAGTTGGAGGTAGAGATGTAGTGTCTGAGGAGGGTTATGACATTTTTTTAAAATTTTTATTTATTTATGATAGTCCCACACAGAGAGAGGCAGAGAGAGAAGCAGGCTCCATGCACTGGGAGCCCGATGTGGGATTCGATCCCGGGTCTCCAGGATCGCGCCCTGGGCCAAAGGCAGGCGCCAAACCGCTGCGCCACCCAGGGATCCCCCCCCCCCTTTTTTTTTTTAATGGATAATGCTAGAGTTTGTTTGCCTGCAGACAGGAATGAACCAGCAGAGAGACTTAAAATTGTCAGTGATAGAGAGCAAAATCCTCAAGAAGGTGGAGCGCAGGAGGACGCTACCGTATTTTGGGGAAGAGATGGTGTTTGAACCACGGCAGTGGGATGCAGTGGCGATGAATCTGTAGGTGTTTAGGAGGCAACCCCTCTTCCAGGGCGATGTTAATTGCTGGGTGGGTGGGTGACAATGTAAAGGGGCATCTGGTTTGATTAAAGGAAGAGACAAGAGGACCTCTGAGCAATGATAGGTCTCGTGCTTTCTGAGGGTGGCGGACCCTATTGTCACTCCTAATCAACTTCTAATCTACTCCAATAATCCACCTTGTGGATTTATCTGTCCCCTGGAGCACCAGCGTCTCTCACATGCTGGGCGTTGGTCAAGTCTGCTCCTGGAAACGCTCCTTGCGAGGGTCCAGTCCTGCCTCTCCAGCATCCTGGTTCTGTGATCTTCTAGAGCAAGTCATGCCACTTCTCTGGGCCTGTTTCCTGCCCCCACCCCCACCCCTCGCCCCTCCCCCGTGGTTAACTGCTGGGTTGAGACTTCTAGGGACACACACAGCGACATTCCTCGGGTGGGCCCCTCCCACCCAGCGCCCCGGGGCTCTCAGGCCCAGTCCCTCCCACCGGCCCCTCTGCTCTCTCACCACCCCTCCCTCTCCACGCGTGCTCGCGTTTTCTTCCTGCTTCATGGCTCCACGTCTCCCACCAGCGGCTGCTGTCAAAGGGGGCACCCACTCGCTGGGGGCGGGCACCCACTCGCCCACCTGGCCAGCCCTGCAGAGTCTGGACCCTTCTGGAGCTAACAGGGAGCCTGGGGCAGGGCACACGCCAACAGTGCGGCCAGCCTTGGGGGCCCCGCGTCGGGGACTGACCCCCCCCCCACTCCCTGCGTGAGCACCTGTCTCGGGAGATAGGCCGTGGGCTCCGGGGGGCGGGGGCGCGGGGGGCGCGCGGGTGAGGTCCTCTGTCTGCGAGTTGGGGTCTGGCAGGCACTTGCGTGCGTCTTGTTTCCCGGCTGGCGGTCCCGCCGTCCCTCCCCCCTCCCCGACCTCTGGTCCTCCTGCGGGCTGAGCCCCGGGAGCCTCACTCCGCCCCCCTCTGCACGAGCCAACCCGCGCGCCCAGGGGCTGCTGGGCACCTGCTGCGAGTCCATAAAACCCGCGCGCGCGCGCTCAGCTCCAGTCGCTGCGCTCAGGGCCCCCCTGGTCGCAGCTCCCCGCCCTGGCTTCCTGGGGCTTCCAGCCCAGCATCGGTTTCGGCTTCCAGAAAAGTTGGGAGAAAGTGAATTTGGAATGGATTGGGAAGTAGTAGCAGCTCCCCAGGCTCCTTTCCCTTCCAGAAGCTTCATCCTGCACAGCCTCATCCATTCTTCTTTTCCTGACACCCTGTTTCCATCCCTGAGCCCTCTTTCTCTTCGCTCCTAGGTCTGACCTCCACACTGTGTGATCAGCATCTTCTCCTTCCTTATCTTTCTCTCTCTGATCCTGTTAACCATTTCTACCTATTTTCACCTTCTCCCTGTCATTGTCTTCTTTCTCCCCTCCTAAAACCTTGAAGCTTCCCACTCCAATTCACCCATCAAAGCCCTCCACTCCCCCCCCCCACTATCCATCCCTCTCTCTACCTCCTCCTCTTCCCTCCCAGCAAAGTCAACCATGACTTCTGGGCCTACCTGGGCTGCCAGCCCCACTCCCGGGGGCACCTTCTCTGCCCTCAATGCCACCACACCCTGGCTGGGCCGGGATGAGGAGCTGGCCAAGGTGGAGATCGGCGTCCTGGCCACTGTCCTGGTGCTGGCGACAGGGGGCAATCTGACTGTGCTGCTGACCCTGGGACAGCCAAGCCGCAAGCGCTCCCGCATGCACCTGTTTGTTCTGCACCTAGCCCTCACTGACCTGGGCGTGGCACTATTCCAGGTGCTGCCCCAGCTGCTGTGGGACGTCACCTACCGCTTCCAGGGCCCTGACCTCCTCTGCCGGGCTGTCAAGTATCTCCAGGTGCTCAGCATGTTTGCCTCCACCTACATGCTGCTGGCCATGACGCTGGACCGCTACCTGGCTGTTTGTCACCCTCTGCGCAGCCTCCAGCAACCCAGTCAGTCCACCTACCCGTTCATCGCCGCTCCCTGGTTGCTGGCTGCCGTCCTCAGCCTGCCTCAAGTCTTCATCTTTTCTTTGCGGGAAGTGATCGAGGGCACCGGGGTGCTGGACTGCTGGGCAGACTTCCGCTTCCCTTGGGGGCCTCGGGTCTACATCACCTGGACCACCCTGGCCATCTTTATCCTGCCCGTGGCCATGCTCACAGTCTGCTACAGCCTCATCTACCATGAGATCTGTAAGAACCTAAAAGTCAAGACACAGGCCCGGAAGGCGGAAGGAAGAGGCTGGAGGGCCTGGGACAGGACCTTGCCTTCTGGCCCAGCCGCAGCCACTCGGGGGCTGCCGTCCCGAGTCAGCAGCATCAGCACCATCTCCAGGGCCAAGATCCAAACTGTGAAAATGACTTTTGTCATTGTGTTGGCCTACATCGCCTGCTGGGCACCCTTCTTCAGCGTCCAGATGTGGTCCGTGTGGGACAAGAACGCTCCTGATGAAGGCGAGTGTGTGTTTGTGGGGGAGGGGGGCAGAAAAGAGCAAGGAGAGGAGAAGCGCAGGCTTAGGATAGGGTTCTTCGGCTTCCCAGGGCTGGGCAGGGAGCAGATGAGTGAAGGAATTAGGAAAGGTGGTGCCTATCCCCCGTGAAAAGAGGTGGCTATAACTCTCAGGCAGCCTGCAGATGCCATGTATCTTTTATGTAAGATTTCCATATTTTAAATTTTGGGCACCTAATCTAAATGCTCAAAAATAATTTAAATAAATAAATAAATATAAACGCTTGAAACTATTACATGGCCTTAATGAAATACGACTGTTGACAGATTCGGCCAACCAATTAACTGCCAGTTGCATAGATGAGCATTAGAATCATGGAATGACTGAATTGAAAAGAATTTTCAAGTTGTCCAGGATGACAATTCGTGACCACAGCTGAGAGCTGTGTCTCTCAGCCCTCTACCTTCCTGAGCCTGGGCATGACTTTGAACTCCTTCTCAACAGCTACTTCCAGTTGATTAGCTTGTTGGCACATGACAACTCTGAAATTTTGAGTTCAGCCCTTTCATTTTGCTAATGTGGAAGAAAGGCTCAGAGGGGAAATGTGACTTGCCCGGGGCCACACAGCTAGGGAGTGGTGAAGTGAAAAGTAAAACCTAGGCCTGCTATCTCGTCTTTTTCCCTTACCCCCTACTCTGTTCAGAATTCTGGCTCTGAATGTCCTGAGAAGCCGGGTCTTGCTCCTATGTGAAAAACCAAATGGGATCCTGGGATCTTCCGTGAACACCATGCTCCAGGTGGCACATGGGAGGTCTTGCTATTGTCATTTTTCTGCGGTGAGGTAGAAGGAAGCCTCCTAAGTTTTAGACACTGCCAGATGGTCTAGCCACCTGGGGATGGAGTGTACTCAGGAAGGTAGGGCTGAGTCTGGGCAGCCTAAATGTCGAAGAGTAGTGTTCAAAGACACCCTTTTCTGCTCCCAAGTAGAGTGGGACATAGGGGCAGTGCAAGTCAATTCATCGGAGTGTTTGGGAATAGGGGTGACTGTGTGCTCTACAGTGCTTGTCATGCACATTGCCCAGGATGTACAATGGGTGCCGCATGTAACTACCCTAGGGAGGCCCTATCCATAGATTCTTCTGGAAGCTTCCTGACAGTTTGCTGACCAGCAGACCCAGACTACCAATTCCTACCAGCTCCTAGGGAGTAGTTCCCCCTTCCCTTATGCTTTTGTTTCTAATCTCATTTTGCTTATCCTAGGACACACTCAAGCCAAATATTTTGCTTTTCTGGAGAGAGTAGGGCCAGACTGTTCATGAATTGAGCACAACTCTGCAAGAGAGGTGTGAAAACAATACCAAACTATTACAGTCCTGTTTTATCCTCCTTTTTTTGAACATCCCTCTGGACAAGAGGCTATTTGCAAATTACCCTTTAAGCAATAAATGTATTGATTCTAACCAACTATAGGGACCTCCCTGTTCTAGTCAAGCACAGAACAGAAAGGAGGAGGGTTTCCTAGTGCCAAGCAGCACATCCAGTCCTTGGTACTCAGTGGTAGCCTTCTCCTGCCTTATGTGTGAGTAACCTGAGACTCTGAGAGGTGAAATAACTGGGCCATCTCCAAAGTGCCACCACGAGTAAGACATGGAGCCAGGATTTGAATCACCACGGTCCAAACATTAGCTGTGACATGGCTTTACTCTCAATAATCCAGCTTAGCCAGTGGCAGGGGGGAGGAGGGGTGAGTAGTCATTTGATCCTTCATTGAGAAACCCACAAGAGGATGGAGACCTGGCCACCAGGCCAGTGCAGGCTTCCCTGCCGGCCTGCTGTGTCACTATCATCACAAGGCGGCCCCTCAGTACATACCTGTGCCTCACCTGCTCACCTGCATAGAGTGATTTACCACTTACCAGTGGCCTCTCTGAGCAAGGAGAGCAGGAATGAAGTGTTACCTTACAGACAATGTGCTCTCCCAGAAAACTGGAAGCCCTTTGAGGGCCTTCTAGTTGAGCTGAGAGCCATTATTTTAAAATACTTACTCTCCAGTACACCCAGTTCCTCTCCATAGTATGCTGGCCTCCTAGCCTCTCATCCCTGAGTCTCTGGTTGGAGCCTGCCTGTCTCCTTGCCCTTGCTCCTGCTGCCCTCCCCACAACTGTCAGCTGAGTTCCTGCAGGGTACAGTATGGGTCTGCCCTCAAGGGCTGAGAGGTGGAGCCTCTGCAGACCCTGCTCCTCCGGCCACATTTCCAGCCCTTGCTCAGAGGGGGTCAAATCAAACAGATGTTTCCCAAGCAAAGGCACTTGCAGATCCCCTCAGTCCCCGGCCTAATCTGGGCATTGAATATGTGTCGATGGAGTGGATAGGGTGAACACCATCCCCTTCACCAAAGCAACTTCCCATATCTTCCACAGCTCCCCGGTATTCTGTGAACTGGGGAGCAGACCAGAATGCAGGGAAAATGAAGGAGGCTCTGTTTGCTGTTGAGGCTGGTCCTTCCTGCATCTCTAGGTGCTCCCGCCACACCCCCACTTCTATGCCCTCATAGGTCGGTCCAGACCGAGATGACTTTAGCTTCTCACCACTGTGATTCGTGTCTTCTCTCAAATGTTCTGACCCTGTGTCTTCCCTTTGCTTGGTCTCACAGCCCGGCTATGGAAGGGAGATGCCCAAGGAACCAGAGTATCTGCAGATTTCACAGGGCTGGGGCACCTGGGTGGCTCAGTGGTTGAGCGTCTGTCTTTGGCTCAGGTCATGATCGCAGGGTCCTGGGATCGAGTCCCACACTGGGCTCTCCTCAGGGAACCTGCTTCTCCCTCTGCCTGTGTCTCTGCCTCTCTCTCTGTGTCTCTCATGAGTAGATAAATAAAATCTTAAAAAAAATATTTCACAGAGCTTTACAGAGCAGGCATTGGAGCTTTGCCTTTGAGTTTGTTGGTTGAAACTGCGCAAGGGTTTGGGATTGCTGCCTTAGAGTCCGGGGACCTGGCTTCCAGTCTATGCCATAACCCCTAAGATTCACTAGAGCTTTGACATTGTTCTCAGTTATTTCTATAAGCTCTGCTGAAGAACAAGTTACCTCAGTGTGCAGCCTGTGCCATGGCTGGAATGTGGTGCATCTAGCGGGTACTCAGGGTCCAGCCTGGAAGTTTCCTCCTGGTATGTAGAGCTTTATATAGTCTTCAGAAAGAATATTGTGTCTGGAAGACATCTTTTCAGTCTGCATCCTCACATTTTGACTGCCCAAGAGAGAAATTAGTTTTTCTCTGGAGGATGGTGCTTTCCCTGGGTATAATCTCTGTGGACGTGGAACAAGTATTTGTCTGGAATAAGATGCTTGGGTACTCTGTAGCTAGAAGCTGCCCATCCACTGCTGTTGGAGATGATGCAATGGCACCTGCAGGACAGTCAGGCTGATTGCCCACCCAGGCCCCCACCAGAGCCCTGGCACTGTCAGGTGTCATATGCTCACTGCCTGATGAGTGGGACTGTCCCTAGGGCCAAGGAGGACAGGATGCACCCATCTGTTTGACATAAATGAGAATGGGAATCAAAGGGTTCTGAACTTGGTCTAGAATCACAGTTATGTTCCCTGCATGATTTACAGAAGTTGTATCATTCTATTTTTTTAAAGATTTAATTTATTTATTCATGAGAGACAGAGAGAGAGACAGAGAGAGAGAGAGAGAGAGAGAGAGAGAGGCACAGACACAGGCAGAGGGAGAAGCAGGCTCCATTCCATGTAAGGAGCCTGACATGGGACTCGATCCCAGGTCTCCAGGACCACACCCTGGGCTGAGGCAGCACTAAACCACTGAGCCACCTGGGAAGCCCGAAGTTGTCATTCTAGATCTCCATCCATTGGAGGTCTAAGTGTTGGAACAAAGATACTACCTCCTATTCAGGCCGGTCTCTCCCAGACTATGTTCACACCTCCAAAGTCAACTTGGAGTAAACCTTAGCTCCTAACCTTATTCTGAAGTTACAAGCAAGACCCAGAGATGAAGGACTCTGGAGCCAGAGAGGCAGCTCCAAGTCCCTGCTATGCCCTTTCTATTTATTTATTTATTTATTTATTTATTTATTTATTTATTTACGATAGTCACAGAGAGAGAGAGAGAGGCAGAGACACAGGCAGAGGGAGAAGCAGGCTCCATGCACCGGGAGCCCGATGTGGGATTCGATCCCGGGTCTCCAGGATCGCGCCCTGGGCCAAAGGCAGGCGCCAAACCGCTGCGCCACCCAGGGATCCCTGCTATGCCCTTTCTAATTGTAGAACTCAAGGGAGTCCTTCCCCGCCTTCGGATCTCTGACCTCTGTCTCCCCCCTCTGCTCAGTGGGGTCTTGGACTCTCTCCCAGGTGCCATCCAGCTCTGTAATTCCAAGACCTCTCGTGCTTCTTCTTCTGCAGATTCAACCAATGTGGCTTTCACCATCTCCATGCTCTTGGGCAACCTCAGCAGCTGTTGCAACCCTTGGATCTATATGGGCTTCAACAGCCACCTGCGCCCGCGCCCGCTGCGCCGCCTGCCCTGCTGCTGGGGGCCCCAGGCGCGCCCCCAGCTCTCCAGCCACAGCCCCTCGAGCCGCCGCACCACGCTGCTGACCCGCTCTAGCGGCCTGCCCCCCCTCCCCCTCAGCCCCAGCCTCAGTGGGGGCCCCGGGCCTGAAGGCTCACCCAAAGACTCAGCGCAGGTGGACGCAGAGGCCTCCACAGAGACCATCGCCTTTTAGGGAACATTCACCAGAGCAGGGTGCGCCCATGGGGCTAGCAGAGGTTCTCTGCTCATCTCAGCACTGGGTGTAAATGCTGGGGGGGCTGGGGTTGGAGTTCGGGGGAGACCACTTTGAGGCCAGAATGGCTGCCCCGCCCTTGATGTTACAGGTGCCTCTGGTGTGCCGGCGGACCCTCGTGCGCTCGCAGTCTCACACCCTGGAAATCAGGGAGAGTCAAGCCTCTGTTTCCCTGATCCTGCACATTTACAGTGTACCTGGAACTCACCCGTGTGGTGGATGTGGTGCCCCAGATCTCAGGCAGGCCTAGGACGGCCTTGACTAGGGGTTCACAGAGGACCGGGACTCAGGCCGGTCTCCCGCCTTGACTCTTTGTCCCATCCTATCCCGACTAGCACACCCAGCCAGCCGGGAGAGGGGAGGAGTGAAAACCTGTGAGAAGGATCCTGTTTCTCTATCTCCATCCTGGATTTGTCTGTTTGTTTCGTAGAGGGAGGCTTCTTTAATGAAGGAAACCAAAGAGGGGTGGGTGAACAGGTACCTCGGCTTTGCCTGCTGTGCCCACCTGTCTACTGAAGGGAGATGCAGGATTTGGCACAGCACCTGCAGCTAGTAAAAATTCCACAAATGCTCGTGTTCCTTCTCCCCCTGTCATCCACCTTTACAGGACAGGTAATAGGGCAAAGTAGACTCATCGGTGTGACCCACTGGAAGGGAGTATGCGAAGGAGGGAGGAAAGAAGAAGATGAAAATGATCACAGTAAGATTAAGAGTGGGCGAAGCCTGTGAGGCAGCACCCGTTGGTGGCTCTCCTTCCTTCTCTAAGGGAATTTGCACTTCGCCCTCCTGGGGGCTGGCCCAGAGGAAACAACCTTACAGAAAATGTGGCTGAATCATGGCTCTGGATTTCCTTGAGGTTTTTCAGGGCTTCCCTATGAGCCATGCACGCTGTGATGAAGTCAAGAGCCCAGGATCTGAGACACGACTCTGAGCTCGGGAAGGTCCCCTCCCTTCTCTGGGCCTCTGTCTTCCCACCTATTAGGACAGAGCTGATCCAAAAGATCTTTCCCAGCTTTACCCTGTCGTGAGTTTGCAAGACTGGGCCTGGGGTTACAGCAGAGCCTTTTCTAACCAGCAAGCTCTAGAGGAATTGTTGGATTCTCATGGCAATGACATTTATACCCTTTGACTCAATTCTGGTGACTGTGAATCCTGCAATGGCCAGACTGTCTACTTTTGCCCTCAACTCAGTGCTACTGAAGTGGGAGAGGCAGCAGAGCAGATAGACTCTGGGACGTTGCCCTGCTCCTCCTCATTATCTCCAGTGGGACTTAAATCTCGGGGTGGCTTCCCCACCCGAATTCTGGTTCTAAACTAAGAGATGGCCTTGGCAGTGGAAGGGGCATCAGCTGGAAAGTCAGGAGAACCGGGTCTTGGTTCTGCCACCATGATAACCGACACGGGGAGGATGTCGACTGATCCTTCATCTCTGTTATGAGGTCAAATAGGAGTGTGGACCTAAAAGTGGTTGGTAGACTCAGGAGCTGTCTACCAGTGGAAAGGCCTCTAGGCTAACAGCTCCTGAGAGCAGCTCCAGGGAACAGGTTCTCTGCCCTTCATTCTGAGGGAAGCTGTAGGAAATGACTGCAACTTTGAGCTTTAAGAGGTCACTCAGCTCTGAGAAGCCTTCTTCGGCTTCCTTAAAAGAAAAGAACCTAAGCTGAGTTATGAGAGAGCGAAGCATCCCAAGCCTTCAGTGCTAAGGAACCAGGGAGTGGGACACAGACCCTAATGGGACCCAGGTTCAGGGCAGACGTGAGGGCCCACAGTCTCTCTTCACTACGTTCTGTTGCCTACATCAGTCCCTGGACAACCAACTGCTCCTTCCCTGTCCATCTGTCCTGGTGGAGCTGGGCTCAGGGGCCTCCCCTGTCAGCATGAGCTGCTGAAGGTCCTCCCGCCCTGTGTACATAAGCCAAGCCCCTGCCTTTCTCACCACAGATCCCATCCCTCGTGCCCTAGTCAGTACCGAGTAAACCATGGCTCATCGTGATGACCAGGAGGGAGAAGGGACATCAGCTTTGCATTCCAAAGCCCTGGGTTTGAGTCCTGCTCTCATAGGATCTTGGGCAAGTCCTCTAATCTCTCTGTGCAATGATTTCCTTTTTTGCTCAGTAGAAACAATAATGTCTACATTTTTGCGGGTGGGGGTTGCTATAAGACCTTGGACTATAGGACAGTCTACCATGGCCTGGCTCCAGATTGCATCTGGTGAGTAAGCTCCTGTGGGAAGCCTGAGGAGGGTCTCTGTTTTCATTTCTGACAGCTAACCCTAGGAGGAGTGGAACCAGGCTGTCCCTGGGCTGGGCACGTTTGTGAAATGTTTGTGCCATCCTGTGGACTCTATGAAATACTTCAATCCCTTAGAACCCCCGTGGGAGTAGGGGGTAGGGGTGGGCAGGACAGAGGATGGCAGGAGGCGAATTGGTTGACTATGGAGATTTCTCAGAAGGGGTTTTTATGTCGTTTGGTATATAGGCCAGTATGTTTCCAGATGTCTGCGCCTGTGTTTTGTATGTAAATAGGTCTTTTTATTTATCAAGGAGCTCGAGACTCAGCCCAGGCTGCCGTGGCTCACTCCTAGGTCAGGAATCCAGAGATGGGGTTGAAAGTGACCAATAAAACTCCATAACCAGGAAATGTCTGGCCATGTTGGTTTCCTAGGTGCAGTGACAACAGGATGTTCAAGCTGAAATAAGATTTGTTCCCCTTGCTTAGGGTAGTGATGTGGAAGAGAGGTTGAGGGATGGGGAGGGACCTTCACCCACTTAAGAGCAAAACAGGGGATCCCTGGGTGATGCAGCGGTTTGGCGCCTGCCTTTGGCCCAGGGCGTGATCCTGGAGACCCCGGATCGAGTCCCACGTCGGGCTCCCGGTGCCTGCTTCTCCCTCTGCCTGTGTCTCTGCCTCTCTCTCTCTCTCTCTGTGTGACTATTATAAAATAAATAAAAATTAAAAAAAAATTAAAAAAAAAAAAGAGCAAAACAGGAGTGTCCTGGCATTTGCCCTGGGGCCACACGGTGGCAGTATGGAGCTGAAAGTGAGTGAAGCTGAGCTGACCCCCAGGGAAGGCTGGGGAAGTCGCTCAGCCTCTCCCTCTAGTATCTGCTACCTTTCCCTGCAGTTCTGGAGTCTTGGCTCCTTGTCTGACCCAGTTCTCCAGACATAACCTGAACACATGCTTCTCTCTCTCATGGAGGATATATTTGTCAAGAAAGGGCAAAGAACGAAGGCAAGGTGAGGGACCAAATGTAGAAACTGTTGCCTGAAAAGATGAGTGTTTGAGAGAGCTGGTGATCTGGTTTTGAGAGATCTCAAAAACACAGAGGAGCTGGAGTTATTATAATGTTTTCAATTTAGATACTGGGGCATGGGGAAGGAGGCCTTTTTTTTTAAGATTTTATTTATTCATGAAAGACACAGAGAGAGAGAGAGAGAGAGAGGGACAGAGGCAGAGACACAGATAGAGGGAGAAGCAGGCCCCATGCAGGGAGCCCGACATGGGACTCGATCCCGGGTCTCCAGGATCCCACCCTGGGCTGAAGACAGCACTAAACCACTGGGCCACCGGGGCTGCCCGGAAGGAAGCCTTTTGAGAGTCCGGCTGGCCCCAGAAAGGTGTCCTGATCTCGGGAGCAAAAAACCCACTGATGGCGGGCATAAAACACCTCCTCACCCCAGGAGGTCCCGATGGCCCGGAATACCACACGGAGTTCTACTGCAGTAATAGTGGGCATCTGGATGCTTGCTCCTTTAGATTACGACTCCGTTGAAGACTGGTCACATTTATTCTGGTCCACTATCTAGTCCCAGTACATTATTGACGTGTAATCAACCATCTAATCAGCTTCTCTGTATCTTGTAAGAGAAAGTTTTAAAAAGGATTTTACTTATTTATTTATTTGTTTATTTGAGACAGAGAGATGTGAGAATGAGTAGGTGTGGGGAATGGGGAAGGGCAGAGGGAGAAGCAGACTCCCTGCCAAGCAGGGACCCAGACATGGGGCTCAATCCAAGGACCCTGGGATCATGACCTGAGCAGAAGACAGGTGCTTAACTGACTGAGCCACCCAGGTGCCCCTGTAAGATAAATTGGAAGAGATCTTTATGCAGTGCACACTCATGGAGGAATCCAGAGTGGGGCACTCGGTCATTCCCTGGATGTTCCGATGGCATACGACATGGAAGAAAGTGACTTCATTTTGCTGAACACCGAGTTCCTCAAAAGGTGATTACTCATACAAGCAACCATTGGTACAGATTTACACAGCTGACCTTCTAAGTTCATGGAGATATTACATACAAAAGGACATTTTATTTCTAGCAACATGGTTAGCAACGAATTTGAGGATCACTTCAAACTGTTAGCTGGCCTCAGTCATCAGCTTATTGGCCCAAACTCCTTAGGACATAAGATGAACTTGCCTCTTCCCTCATCGGGGCATCTGAGAAGTCATCTGCGTCGACGGTCAGCCCAATCTCTGGTACTCACTGGGTAGAGTCACGTGTTCAACTGCATGTAGAGACAGTGTTCTCTAAGAATGCCAGCCCCAGATATTGTTAACCTCCATGACATATTTATTTGTTACAGATGTCATACTTTTGAAGCCAATCATAGCAGAGTTCATTACAGACCTTGATTAGATGGTCAGTAGCATTCAGACCCCTGTGCTCCCCGACATCACTCCCCACTCCGAGGGGCCCAGTCACAGATAGTTCTCCTGTAGTTCCGTACAGGTCAGTCCCTGGAGCATTTATGGAGAGCCTGCCTCAGGTGGGCCTGCTCCCTTTCCCTAGGCCTTTTCTCCTATCAATCAATTTTTAGCCATCTTTCTAAACTGAGGTCAGAAATCACCCTTCTCTGGGATGTTTAGTCTGATGACATCTGATCTTAACACTCCATACCCCTTCTGCCCAAACACTTCTAGGGTTTGTTTTCATTGCTCTGTGTTAGTTCCTTTTTGTCACAGGTTTGGTACATGCTCTTGCCTGTCCCCACAACTGGGTCTGAAGTGCCTTGACCTCACCCACCCAGATGTTCAAGTGTTCTTTAAATGTATGCTTCTCCAAATCCCAGGGCCTTTCCAGAATCCTGCAGAAAGCAGGCACTCCATCCACGCTACTTTAGCTGTCCCCTCTCTTGATGTTGGACCTGTCTCAGAGGTGTCCCCGCCCAGACTCAGTGTGTATGGTGACTCATCTGAACCTCTTCAACATACCTGTAAATTCCTTTTTTTTCCTTTTTAAAAGAGATCAATACGAAGCAGTTTAATTTCTAGATACAAAGGCAGTGTTTTGGTGGTGACATTGTTGGTGTTTATTCCTCATTCTGCCTCCCTAATCAATAAAAATCTTTTTCTCTATTAAGAAAAGCTTCCTAAGAAGATGTCTTAGTCCATTCCAGCTACCATAACAAAATGCCATGAACTGGGTGACTTGTAAACAACACAAATTTATTTCTTTCAATTTTGAAGGCTAGAAGTCCAAAATCAGGGTGGCAGCACGGTTGGTGAGGACCCTCTTCTGGGTTTCAACCGGAAACCCAGACTTTACATGGGTTATATTCTCAAAAAGCAAAAGGGGCTAAGGAGCTCTGTAGGGTCTTTTTTATGAAAGCACTAATCCCATACAAGAGGACACCACCCTCCCCATCTAATCACACCCGGAGGCCCCATCCTTGATACCATCACCTTGGGGTTAGGATTTCAACATTTGAATTTTAAGGGGCACAAATATTCAAATTATAGCAGGAAAGTAACAACAGTGGTAGGCAAAAGGTGGAGGGACACGTAGACTGGCAAAACTACGCAGGCCCAGACACTGAAGCCAGAACCATTTCTTCAGATCATCTTGGGAAGAGGAACCTGGGAAGATGAAAGCTGCCCCGTGTGCTCAGTACCAGGGCTAGAAAGGTCGATTATGGCCAGCAGGTAGAGCCTGGGTAACAAATCCTCTCTAAGACCTGAGTGCTTGCATTTGGCCAGGCATGTTCCTAGGTCATCCATTTCTTGAGATGGTTTTTTAGTTATTGTGAGCAAATTTTTTTTTTCATTTCATGTCTTAATTGGCTGTTGGAAAAATATATTGTATATTTATCTAGTTTTTACTTACTGCATGTTATCAATTAAAACATTTTAAGTTAATTGTCTGAGATGTTGTAGGGCGAGGGTATCTACAAACGATGACAAATTTTATCCTCCTTTATAATAGCCCTCATTTTAGTCAACTGTCTTATTCCACCAATTAGAACTTTTATGGCAATGTTCGATGAAGGAAATGACAGGCTTGTGGACACTTTTACTCCTTTCAGGATTTAATAAAACTGCACCTGTGACCTTACTGATAAGTATCATGCAATCAGCTGATTGAGATAAGCTGCTCTTTTTCTTTTTTTTAAGATTTAATTTATTTATTTGACAGAGCACAAGCAGGGGGAGCAGCAGGCAGAGAGAGAGAGGGAGAAACAGGCTCCCACTGAGCCAGGAACCCAACGTAGGACTTGATCTCAGGACCCTGGGGTTATGACCTGAGCTGAAAGCGGGTACTTGACTGAGTCAGCCACCCAGGCAGCCCTGAGAGAAGCTGTTCTTAATCAAGAAAGTGTCCTTTTATTCCTAAGTGGCTTAAAGCAAACAAACAACAAACCAGGAAAGAATATTACATTTTATTGGGTTGAATTTGGGGAGATTTTTCCCTGGAATCACAGGTTGTGATGCTAGCTGGTATTTACCAGGACTCTGTCAACTTTCATTCTTCAGAAATAGGGAATTCAAAGGTTGAAGGATAGGGAGCTTTCTAAGTGGCCTGTTCAAAGTGCTGAGGGCAGAGCAGGATTGCTCAGCAAGACACAGACCCAAGGAGGGGTCACATGCAGGGTTGGGCAAGAGAGACGAAGAAGTGGCAAGTGGCAGTTGCTGTTTTATTTAAAACTTTTAAGGAAGTCGTTGCCAAACATTAAAGAGCTCAAAGAGTTATTAAATGGTAAGATTGCCAAACAGAACTCTACTACAGCTGATTAAAGATTTTTTCCCCCACAATTTTCTATGGAGAAAGACTTTACTGCTTTCTCTATTGATACCTCCACTCATCCATACTTATCTTGGAAGTTCTTCCTGACATCTGATCTGAATCTTTCTTGCTGAGTGAGATACAGGCCTACTTAGTCTCCTATGACTTGTTTAAAGAAGAAAAAAGTAATTCCCCTACAAAGTAAGTGCAAGGATTTGTAGAGAACTTCACCCCTTTTAAAACCTAGAATTCACATGGCCACTTGAGTGTATTCCACTGGCTCAGAGTCAGCAGGGTTCGCAAAAGTCCAGAAATTGGGCTTGTGGCTTTTCGGATAGACATTGACATAATCTGTGGTTTCCTTTAGGTTCTCATAGTCCAGAGCAGATTCATTTTTTAGTCCTCCAGGGGTTGAAAAGACCACTTGTGTGTAATTCACATCCTTGGTGGCCTTAGTGGGGGGGGGGGGAAACAGAGAAATATGCATCAAAATTCCTACCAGGGGACCCCAGGATGGAACTCTCTCTCCAGGAGGCTCAGCTCACCCTAGGCTGGAAGGGAAAGAAGTGGCTTGCAGGTGTCTGTGTTGGAGAGCAGGGAAGGGGGAGTGGGGAAGATTGCCAATGCTGTCTGTAGGGAATTCATCAGTTTAAGGAAAGATGTGGAGACTCAGTCTCAGGACTCAAAGCAGACTTTGGCCCAGTGACCGGTGTATGGGGAGGAGGAGGTGGTCCATTGGCACTTGCATTTTTACAGCCCACCCAGACCCATTTTGCGTGGATGATCCATATTGCTACGAGCCTGACCACCTGTCACCTAAGGATGCTGTAAAAGCTCAAGAAGCCCCTCCTTCCCTGCTCCCATCTCTGGAGCAGGGGTGACCTGGCTGCTCAGTCTTGTACAGCAAGGACCCCAACTGCATACGAAGGGTTGGGGTCACTAGGGGTATCCATTACCTGGCAGTTTTGAGACGAGCTGTCGGAGTTGTCGGAGCTGTTGGAGCTATCTGAGGATGTGTCGCTGCCATCTAGGGAGAAACAGAAACTGTTCTTCTAAGGAAAGCTGGAGGGTGTTAGCAGGGAATGGACACAATGGAAGGAAGAAGGAGACAAAGAGGCAGAGCCAGCCACGTAAAGGTAAGTGGAGAAGAGGGATTGGGAGCCTCTCCAAATAGGCAGGAACGTGCCCAAGAGTCCAGGCACCGCTGCTCCATCCAGCTGCATCTGAAACGAATAGCAAACACTCTGGGGTTGATTGTGTTGGGAGGGATAATCAGGGACACGCTGACACGGTGTGGCCCCGGGCAAACAGCTCTAGCCTCCTCAGTCCTGGGCACAGGTTTGGCACTGAATGTGTCACTAACTCTAGGCAAGTGATATCCCTTTTTGTGTCTGGCTTTGCTCCCCGTGAAGCAAGAGGGTTGGATGATGATCTCTGAGGTCCCTGGCAACCAGAGTCTCAGATTCTGGCCGGGCTCCGGGGAAACCCTAGGGCCAGGGTCACGATGGGGCCGGGGTCCCTCCGTTTCCACTGGAACATTGAATTCTTGTGAGTGGTCTCTTGTGGTTCTCTGAGGTCTTCCCTCAGTGCAGGGGAAGCCTGACAACCAGATCTCTTCAACTGAAAAGATAAAATTAGAAGGCTGGAGCAAATGCAAATCAATCAAGGGGTAAATCATTAGAAAAAGTGTGATCCTTGGTGAGTAAAGTGCGGCAGTTGTTTTGCTGTGGAAGCAGCGATTTCCATTGTGTGACCAGTGACCCGGTGCGTCTCCCTGGCCCTGAGAGAGAAAACAAGAGGGCAGCGTTCTTGTTGGGTCACTCACCACATGGGGATGGAGATTTGAGCCATTCCCAAGACTCATGTTTATTAAGGTATCCAGATACCGTGGCCAGACGCAGGCAGACATCCTGGCTGTCCCACGAAGTGACCAGGTAAAACAGGCACCATAATATTTCAAAGACAGGAGCAGAGACAAGCCCAGTCCCCCTCTGCAGTGGCTCACACTCAACCAAACCTGGACAAGAACTTAGAGCCACACAGACCCATGGGGATGGCCCGATGCGAGAGGAAGAGCAGCTTACTGAAAAAGGCAGGCTGCTGGGGCCTTCACGGAGGTGGGTGCGAGGAATCCTCCAGCCGGGGGTCGGGCTGGCAGGGGCAGGGCTCGCTGCTGCAGGGCGGCTCCCCAGGGGCCCGGGCACAGAAGAATAAGCTTTATGACAAGTTCTCCGCCCCCCCACTCACGTCTATAATGGGGCTCAGACACAGGGGTGCTCCGAGTCTCCTTCTCCTGGGCAGCGAGTGGCTGACGGTGGGCAGGGCCGGGCCCGGGGGCCTGGAGCCTGGCCCCTTTCAGTATCCGCTCACTCTTCTTGGCTAAAGCGGACAAAGCCACAGTCAAAAGTGGCAGCTCTCCAGGCCACGCACATCCTGCCTCTGAGCACCACCCTCGATAGGGCAAAACGTTCAGAGAGCCCTCTTCAAACCTCCCACTGCACTCAAGGCCCTGCAGCACCCCTCAACTCGTTTGGAGTACAAGCCTCACTGTTCCTCCTCCTCTCAGGTCCAGCCACCCTGGCCTCTCTGCTCCTGCTGTTCACCAAATACCCGTCTGCTCAGAGCCTTTGCAGATGTCACTCGCTTCCTCACTTCCAGAGGTTTATACTCAAATGTCGGCATGTCAGTGATGCTGGCCGTCATCTAATTCATCTCTCCTTGCTTGGCTTCATCTTCTTCTTCTTCCCTAGGACTCACCATAATCCAACACGTGTGTCTACCTGTTTATCTAGTTTGTTGTCTGTGCCCTCCATGGAATATAAGTTATATAAGGACAGGGATTTTTGTTTTGTTTCCTGCTATATTGAATGAATGCATGCATGCATGAATGAATGAATGGCTAGAGAAACCTAGATTTCCTTTATTTTATTTTCCCTAATTTTAATACCGTCCCAGAACAGAACTTCTCTATTTTCCACTGTGAATCAGTTTAAGAATTTAAGCTAATCTCTTAGTCTAGCCATACTTCCTTCTGTTGAAATTCAAAGCCATTTCTTCACCACACTGAGTCCTTTGGCAGTGATGAAGAAAATTAGTCAGACCCAGGCTATATGAGCCCATCCTCCTAAGCATTGCAGGAGGTTGTCTCTAGGTAGAGGGTCTGGGTGGTGGAAGGGCTCTGGGCTGTCATCCCCAACTGGAAATACGTTGGGTCAGAGTGGAGATTACCCCGTACAGGATGATCTGCCCAGTGGATCCTCAAGGAGGTATTCAAAAGGGTCCTTGGGGGATCGTCGTGCAATAGGCTGGAGGATGGTGTCTGTAAGTGGATGGAGGGAAATGCCAGGCCACTTACCCATGTTCCTGCAGAGCAGATAGTTGATGGCAGTGAAGAGGCAGGCCTGTAGGATGAAGGACACCACTGCAATCACTAAACCATGCCAGACCTTCATGTCTCTGTTGGGAAAGGAGAAAGGTCAGAGTTAGAGGTTGCAGAGATTCTAATGCAGCTGCAAACCCGTCCCTGCCCCCAGCCAGAGCCAGCCATCTGGTGCTGCTGTGTGTCTCAGGGCAGGTCCCTTTGCCTCTCTGGACAGTAAGGCATGGGGAGCCGGGGAGGGTGGTGTGCGTGCTCCAAAGCCAGTTTTACCAGTCAGTCTCACTGGAACCCCACTCACTCTGTCAGCATGATGAGCTTGCAGGGCAGCCCGGGGAATCAACGAAGCTCAGGCTCTTACGGGGGCAGAAGGAAGAGAGCTGGGAGCAACCACTCTGGGCACCACGTCTGCACGTTGCGTCCCCCACAGGACAGGCCAGGAGAACTGCAGGAGGCAAGGTGGCTGGTCAGGACTCCTGGAATCTACCCCCCAATTCCCCTCAGGCAAACTCAGCGGCCGGGGGTGGGGGAGTCTTTGCTCTCCCCAGCTTTCAGTTTTTGAACCTACAAAATAGTCAGTAACTAGTAGTTAGATAGTCGCACCTGACAGCGGGTGGGCATGCGCTTGTGCCAGCCACAGCGCTGAGCCACTGGCACACACACCTACCTAACCCACAGGGTCCCGTGCCTGGGATATCACGACCCCTCCTTTAAGGACGAGCAGTGGGAGATTCAGACTGCAGGGGGACACGTCGGAGGTCGCGCAGCTGGCAGCAGCTGGGCATGGATTTGGGTTCTAAATCCAAGCCTGCATCCTCGCCCGTTGGCCTCAGCTCCCGGAGAGTCTGCTGCCAGAAGTACCAGGGGAGTCAACTCAAGCAAATAGAGTCAGAGAGAGTCATTAAAGATTTCTAAATCTTGGGTGCCTGGGTGGCTATCAGTTGGGTGTCTGCCTCCGGCTCAGGTCATGACCCATGTCCTAGAATCGAGTCCCACTTCGGGCTCCCTACCCAGCAGGGAGTCTGCTTCTCCCTCTGCCCTTCCCCCTGCTCATGCTCTCTCTCTCTCTCTCAAATAAATAAATAAAAATCTTTAAAAAAAAAAAGAAATCCAAATCTTACATACATGCACTCACATGCACACCAGGCATGGCTTCATGGGGTTTTGGGGACCAAGACTCTGGATGCCATTATATCCTATGAATATGTTGATTTTAAAAATCAAGCTTTTGAATTTCATCAGCATGTTGCCAAATACGGAGTTTACTCTAAGACAAAGGTAAGATATTTTCAAAGCCTTCGAAATGATACTCGGCATTGAGACAGGGACACAACCACCTATTGTCCCGCAGCAGCCCATAAACCTTCAAAAGACTTTAAGTGCCACCGAGGCTTATTTTCCCCATTAGAGTTTCCAAATGCTAAGGGTGGTGTGGAAAGTCCTGAAAACTTTTGTTTTGATTGTGGTTCTCACACTGGGGCTTTCTAAGAATTTAGATCAAGAGTCAAGAGAGAGAGAAAGCAGAGATGGGCAAGAAGATGTGTGGGATTTGCCACCAAAGCCTCTCCAGGGCTGGAGGCGTTGGCCAGTTAGAAGTTTCCAGAGAGAAAACACCGCCATCTCTTTCACATACCTACCTACAAGCTAGCCCTTGGCAGTGACTTTTCTTCACAAGATCAAAAGCTGGGAGCAACACATACCCAATTTATCATCATACTTCCTTAACCTACCCCCCTTTATGACATAATAAATTCTAGCTACTTCTCCCGAAGGCACCTAACTCTACCCTTTGCTTTTCAAATTAAAATCTGTCAGGTTGCCTTGTAAGAATCAGGTGCTGGTAAGAAGGGGCTGCAGGGAGGCAGGAAGTAGACACAACCCAGACAGACAGAGGAGAAAGGACTCTGGGAAGATCCCGAAGTCCACAGACAAGTGAGTAGAAAATCCAGTATATCCCCCCGCCCCCGCACCCCCCCCCCCACAGTAGTCAGCAAACTCCAGGAAGAGAGCTCAGTCAAAAATGACTTGTGCACAAAATAAAATTTGCAGAGCCAGGATGCTGGAAATAAAACACAAGAATGATGAAGATGAGGCAAAGTGGGGATTTTTCAGGAAAAAACAATGATCTTGAAGGACTGGGCAACTTGACTGCAAAAAGGCAGAGATAGGGTTTTAATGCCTTGCTTTTGTCTCATTTTGAATAAAGCCTTTTAAAATTTCAACAGGTTCTGATCTCTCAAATGGATTCCAGTATTGATTTCTGAGGCAGCTGCAAAAGGGTGATTGGACTTTACCAGGAGAGCTTTATTGCATGACGAAAGACATGAAAATCACAGAAAGAGGCTAGAAGCAAAGCCAATGTGTCTGGGAAACCAACAGCGTTGTTTCAGTTTTAAAGCGCTCTAGTGCTTTAGTATTGATGACTTCATCTTCAATGTCTTAATCACAGAAATTATGTGTCCTTAAATCACAAAAATTATTCTCCTTTCATCGAAGGGGATGGCCAGAAAGCCACTAAGGGCTGTGTTCTGAAACCACACTCAAATTTTAATTTTTTTTAAGGCTCCTCTCTCTCCTTATTTATGAAAAATTAAACAACTAATAGACATTTGTGGTGGAATTTAAAATGCAAATGAGCAAAACATTTCACAAAATCACCCGTATTTTATCCCATAACATTTTCTACAGATTTCTGTAAGTACTCTGTATATGTGTGCATGTAAATATATGTATCCATATATACAATCTTTTCTAAACATGGCATCATACTGATTAGCAGCTTTTCCTCTTCACTGAGTATGTCGTAAACATGTTTCCAGATCAGAAAAACCTCCATTAAAAAGTTCCAAATTGGAGGCCCACGGGCCAAATTTGGTGCCTAGGTGATTTTGTTTGCTGAGGTGCTTTAAAGACTGAGTTTTGGATGCCCTAAGAAGGATTATGTATCCTTCAGTCACTGATCCCTGAAGCTATTTGAGTTTACTACTCTTGAGTTTTATGGCATCATTGTAAATTACTATGATTCCCCTTTATCAGTGTTTCTTAGCACTTTCTGAGATCTAGTGCCAGACAGTTCATTGTTGTCTAGAACTATTTTGCGCTGTGCTAGACATTCAGCATCATAGGAGACCACCATCATCACGGGTTACTGTGACCACCAAAATTACCAAAAATGGCCCCACACATTTCCAAATGCTTCATCCCAAGGCAGCAGCTCTTGCATCCTGTTGAGAATCACTGCACTAAATCAATGTTCCATTATTTTAAAACCAATATCTTATTTTGGCTCTTTATACAAAACTATAATGCGTACACTTCCTTCCATTGTTTTAATATATTATGAACATCTTGCTAGCCAAATGACACACAGTCCCTGTGTCAGTATGTAACCCAACAGACTTCAGTAAGAATCCAAGTTCTGTTCCCTTCTAAATGTGAATTATTACATTTCTCAGTACCTCAGCTTCTCTACCTATGAGATGTGGAGATTGATCATGTCTACACCACAGCATTCTTGTGTGGGCTCGGTGCCTTATGCTGTTTCTAAAGACCAATATACAACACCAGACATGTAGGAAGCACTCAGTGATTACAGATGGGTCCCCATGACGGTTTGACTTAATGATTTTTAGACATTACAGTGGTGGAAAAGTAGAAACCATACTTGGAATTCTTAATTTGGATCTGTTTGTGGGCTGGCCATAGGCTGTGCACTACCCTCTCTGATGCTGGGCAGCTCCGAGTCAGCTCTGCAACGATGAAGATCAACCATCCCATACATTCACAACCCTTCTGTACCCACATAAGCATTCTGCTCTTCACTTGCTGTGCAGGACTCAATAAGCTACATGAGGTATCCAACACTTTACGATACAGTAGGCTCTTTGTGTTGGATGATCTTTGCTCAACTCTAGGCTAATATGAGTGTTCTGAGCTCACTTAAGGTGAGCTAGGTGAAGCGATATTTGGTAGGTTAGGTGGAGTAAATGCATTTCTGATTTAGGATATTTTCAGTTTATGATGGGATTACCGGTACCTAACCCCGACGTAAATGGAGGAAGATCCAGATTCCATATTGTTCAACCCTGAAATGCTTCACCAAGATGGCAACTTGAGTAGAGCTATTAAAATTGACGTGGTCTGCTTTAGGAAACTCAGGCATTCATGTTAAGTATAGCTTGAAGATAAGATCCGGGACAGGATGAGGTATGAAAATGATGACAGATGTCATTATTTAAGTGGCTAATGGCCCCTAACCGCAATGAACAGGTTGTTCCTTGGGGTCTAATTGCAGATTGCTGATCAGACAGTGGGCAAAAACATCTGCTTATTTGCACCTCCCCCCACACACATACCAAATAACCAGGAAATGAGCAAATTAGGATAATTATGTTGTGAAAAGAGTTCCTGGACCATGAGAGAGTTTGCCACCGGCTCATTCCATCATTAAGATTGGGACAGTCCTGCCCTCCTTCACTGGCTGAGTTTTGACACTTGGACCAACAGTAATATAGCGTTGTGTCAGGGACCTCCCAACCACACTCCAGCAGAGTACTGGGAGCACTTCCTCTGTTCGCTTCAGGCCCCGGGTGGAAATTCCAAGACCTCCAGTTAGGCCTGGATCCATCTTTATTGCTTCCCCTTTCTACTGATAAAGGAGCTCCTGGGGACCTGTGTGGTCGGTACAGCCCAACACTAAGGTAAAATAATAAAGATGCACCTCATTCCTGCCTGACATGCTTTCTTTGGAGAGTCATTTTATGAAGAGTAGTTTAAAACTAGAGCACAATAGAAAATTATTTATATGAAAATAATATGGATTGCAATAATCAATAATTGCTCTCATATTGTTAAGGCATTACTGATCTTTTAAAATTAAGTAGCTTTACTGACCTGGGTGGCTCAGTCAGTAAGGCATTTGCCTTTGGCTCAGGTCATGATCCTGGGGTCCTGGATTGAGCACCACATGGGCTCCCTGCTCAGCAAGGAGTCTTCTTCTCTCTCTCCCGCTCCCCCTATTTGTGCTCTCTCTCTCTCTCTCTCTCTCTCTCTCTCTCTCTCTGTTTCTGTCAAATAAATAGAACCTTTAAAAAATTAAATTAAAGGGGGACCTGGGTGGCTTAATGGTTGAGCATCTGCCTTTGGCTCAGGACATGACTCCGGGGTCCTGGGATTGAGTCCCGCATTGGGCTTCCCGTAGGGAGTCTGCTTCTCCCTCAGCCTATGTTTTTGCCTCTCTCTGTGTGTCTCTCATGAATAAATAAATAAATAAAATCTTAAAAAATAAAAAATAAAATTAAGTAGCTTTAAAGAGTTTTAAGAGCCTTTAAAAATATTTTTTGCAATCTTCATTGATTTATTATTTTTAAAATTAAAAACTTGAGCCATAGCACAGCTGAATGGTGTGGGAAGAGAACAAGCCAAGGAGATGAGAGCCTGGCTTCT